GAAAGAAAGATAGATAGATAGATAGATAGATGATAGATAGATAGATAGATAGATAGATGATAGATAGATAGATGATAGATAGATAGATAGATAGATAGATAGATAGATAGATAGATGATAGATAGATAGATAGATAGATAGATAGATAGATAGATAGATGATAGAGAAATGATAGAGATAGAGACGATAGATAAGGATATATATAGAGGGGTAATGATAGGTGAGAGAGAGAATGGAAGATAATGAGAGATAGATATGGATAGATGGGTGGATAGGTAGGTAGATGAGACCTCCAGACCCTCCCCAGAGAAGGTGGCTGACTCACCCCTTGTAGAAGGCCAGGGGTCCTTCATCCCGGAGCATCCTGAGGGCGCATCTCCCAGCGTTCCTGTACTGGCCAGGGGGAGAGTTCATGTACCTGGTTTTCACCACGTCAACCGGAGAGGCTACGATGGTGGTGCAGAAGCCGGCCCCGAAGGCCGAGAGGAAATGGCAAGGGATATCGTCTGCAGGAGGGGACACCAAGAGGGTCAGAGCACGTGGCTGGGGTATCAACGCAGCCCCCCCCCCCAATGCACCCCCTCCACAAAGGCAGCCCTCGACTTACATAACAATCACTGGGCCCCAAATTTCAGTTGCTAAGCGAGACATTTGTTAAGTGAGTCTTGCCCCATTTTTACCACCTTTCTCACCACGGTCCTTAAGTGAATCACTGCCATTATCAAGTTAATAACCTGGTCATTAAGCGAATCTGGCTCCCCCCACTGCCTTTGCTTGTCGGAAGGTCTCAAAAGGGGATTCATGACCCCAGGACCCCGCGACCGTCATAAATGTGAGTCAGTTGCCAAGCATCCGAATTCTGTCACCGTGGGGGATGCAGCAACGGCCGTAAGTCCGAGGACCAGTGAAACGTCGCTTTCTCCAGGGCCGTTCTAACTTCAACCGGACGCTGAACGAACGTCTGTAAGTCGAGGACTACCCACGCACATCCCTTCCGGATGTGCGTCCACGCGAAAAGAGCAGGGCGGCACCAGCTCGGCGCAGTCTACCTTTCTCACCTGTCATGAGGCGGTACGTGAGCAGGGTGTCCTTGATGATGTCGTAGGTCACCAGTTCGGCGCAGTTCACAATGGCGTTTCGGGAAACGTTGGGGAGGGTCCCTAATTGGGTGTGAGAGAGAAAAGAGATGGTGGAAACGGAGAAGCCGGCATCCTTGCAAAGGTTCCACAGGGCATGCGCAGAGTGTCCGATCCAAGACCGGAGGGCTAAAAGTCTATAGAGAGTCTCCGTCATCCAGGTTGTCCCAAAGGTGCTTTTTTCAGGAGAAAACTGGAGAAAACTTCTTTTTCTTTCGAAGACCTTTCGATTCTCATCCCAGAAGCTTCTTCAGCTCTGACTGGATGGTGGGGAAGGGAAGGATTGATGGTCCTTGCAGACACAGCTGTTCCTTTGCATCCTTTGAGAGGGTCCTTCTGCTCTCAACGACTCTATAAAAGGATGCAAATGACCAGCTGTCTGCAAGGAGTATCGATCCTTCCTTTCCCCACCATCCAGTCAGAGCTGAAGAAGCTTCTGGGATGAGGAGTGAAACGTCTTCAAAAACAAGGAAGTCCATTTGCCTCCTGAAAAAAGCCCCTTTGGGATGACCGGAGGGCTAATTCAGATTTAGATGCACAAGGCCCAGGCCAAACACAGCCCAGCCCAATCTGTAGCCAACCCCAATGATACCAACATGTCCCTTGGAATTAATACCCCAATATGGAGGTAGTCCTCAAGTTATAATAACGTTATAATCCATCCCATCTATCTAATCCATCTATCCATTCATCCATCACATCCATCCTTCCATATCATCCTTCCACCCATCCATCATCCATCCACCCATCCATTCATCTCATCCATCCATCCATCGCATCTATCTATCCATCCATCCATCCATCCATCCATCCATCCATCCATCCAATCATCCATCTATCCAATCATCCAATAGTCTATTCATCTCATCCATCTCATCCATCCATCCATCCCATCCATCCATCCATCCATCCATCCATCCATCCATCCATCCATCCATCCATCCATCCATCCATC